TATGTACCTCTGAAGCATTTAGGTCATAAACTTGATGTAATGCAAATGAAAAATTTCGATTTAACTTTTTCTCAAATTACAACTGCATAAAATGTATTTATGAAGTAAGTACATAAATAAACTTAAGGAATAGGCAAATATGGTGTTTGTAAGGTTAGTGAAATTTGTAAGCCATTTGATATGAGATATGATACCTACAAAATAAGCTTAAAATCGTTTTCATGATATTTATCGTTGCTACACTTGAATCTTAATCTGAATAGTAAGTACAGAAGGGTTCGTAGGTAAATCATTACTTCTCTTTCCGATTTCACTGTTGGACAAATTTTTACTTTTTCGTTACCAACACATCGTTTCTTGTAGATTTTTGGCCGTAGAATTGCCACTTTTTGGCACTTTAAGTTTAGGATATCTCAAAATTATAAGGCCAGATTCGGATTCACCACCCAAAAATCTCCACGAAACGAAAGGTGGTAAAATTTTGTTGACCTGTGTTTTTTCCCGAATTTTCCAAATAAAATGTGTTGTGCACAATTTGATTTATACAGGTTTAAATTTCTGAAGAAAATCGGGAAATCAATGAAAATAATGATGCATTATGAAGATTTTTTTCAGAATTTTCTTTAAGAAATCGTACAGAAACTGCTTTACCAGATTGTATTAACCACTTCGTATAATTTTCTTTGAAGATTCGTAAAGAAATCGTTACAGAGTTTGCAACACTCTTCCGATTTACGATTTCGTTACGATTTTGAGAACTCTTTGTTTCGCAGGTATGTTAAACTTTAACCAAATATGTGTGTAGGTATAAATTAGGGATGTTGCGAACGTGGAATTTTACACATCCGTGGATGCAAATGCGTATGTGAATGTTTAAAAGCTAACATCCGTGGATACGGATGCGAATGCGGATGTCAAGTATTTTTAAGAAATTACTTAGGTGATTTGGGCGAATAAAAAATGGAAAGCCTAGTAATTTTTCATAATGTTTTTTTTTTTTTTAAGTATGAACTCGAACTTAGAAATTGGAACATTGTATTTAATAAATCTTTCTATTAAAAAGTAGGTAATGTTGTTGCTTTTCGGGTTACAGCCCGTTTCTTAAAGGGTCGTAAATCAAACCTGCGCCACTAAATAACTACTCGCTCGAGGCGACAAACTTGAAAAACGTTAAACTCGACAGAACTGTAAATTCTTTTGGATTGACGGGCACCAGTTGAGAGGCCTTCCAGTTATATTTATTTATTCTTGTTTTTGTGGTGCAATAATTCCTTTTCGAGAATTGCATCGAGGCTGCAAATGTCGGATGCATCACTCTGACTTTCATCTTCACAATCTAGCATCATGGCAAGACCGTTGTTTAAACACCATTGTTTTCTTCACAAATTCTTCATTCTCATTCTTTTGGTTTTTTTTTCTAAATTTGGAGAACCTGTAACGTCATCAGCGTTTTTCGATTTTAGGACTTTTATTTCGGAATAAAAAAAATATTTGGCCAAGTTTAACTCGTAAAAAAAATAACTGTTATTTTCGGTCCCTGCAATATTCGCATTTGCAAAAGATCCGTATTGATCATTGCGAATGCGAATGCTAAAATTAATGCTTCTCAGAACCAACATAATAATTAAAATATTATTTATATTCTATTTATACACAATGGCTCATCGGAATAAGTCTCGGAGTTATTAGAAGAACGATCAGCAAAAAACAACTCACCCAGGTATGTAGATAGGTACATACAGCCTGCGACACAAGGATAGCACATCAATATTTTGACCAGTTCTGATTATATTTCTTTTGTATTTTTTAATGCTCATTATAAAAAGTATAAATCACTATCTAAATAAAACCATCTAAATCCGAATTTAAAACTCTATGCAAAAATTCACGAACTTTTCATCGCAATTCAACATTGTAACATTGACTAGATTGTTTTTCATCAATACGATTAGAAGTTTGAACTCCATTCCAACTGCAGAAGACGAAAATTAAATAAAAGCTACTACAAAGCAATTTTATACTCTCATTTTTCTAGCCACTTAATCAGGCCATCAAAATTAGATTAATTTAATTTTGCTTTAATTTAATATAAGATTACAATTAAGTTCAACTGTAATTAGATTTTGTTTTAATTTTTAATATTTAATTGCTCGTTTTGTTTTTATTGTCCCATATCCATTGTAAGCTCTATTGTATTTTGTACCTATGTTAATTTTTTTGTACTAATAAAAAAAAGGCAATTCTTACTGTGCTAATATCACCGTTTTAATAATAAATGAAAACGAAATGGATTCCAAGGCTTTTCCAATATTCAGCTCAGACCAGGGACAGTAAAAATTACAACTTTTATTATAAAAATTGCTCTTTAACAATTATTTTTTTACTTTTATTTAATTACTCCTTACATAACAGTTATTTCTCATTTCTCGTTTTTAAATCCAAAATAACAATCATTTTTGATTTTCAACTAAATAACCAGCAATCAAGAGCTATTTTTTATTTTTATATTATATGTTTCAGATAACAGTTATTGAATATTTTTATTTATAAAGTTCATCAATAATAATCAGACAGTGACATTTATTTTTTATGTCATACTTATAAAAGTCATTTGTATAAGTCGTAGTAAACTTTTGTTCCCCAACACCTTCTTAACTGCGAAAAATGATCATGACTTTTATACGTATGACTAAAAAAATAAAAGTCAGTGACTGATTGATATCCAAAATTGTAAAATATAAATAAAAAACAATTGTTATTTTTAATTTTGCATAAAACTACAAAAAAAAATTATTGCTAAATTTGATTCTCGGTGAAAAGAGAAATCGTCTGGTATATATATAACGTAGTTGTAGAACACTTCCTTCATAGTGAACTTTTCAATGACAAATTTTCATCAATAACTGTTATGTCCCTGGCTCAGGCCCATTGGTGAAGATAGAGCCGAGGCTATTTAGGTTTCCCCATGACCTCTCATGGGTATTCTAGTGCACCACTTACTAAGGAAACAGAAGCACATAGTGATCTGATCTAGTTCCCTATAACTTCTAGGTATTGTATCTGGAAGTATCTCGTTGCATTGCAGCAAGCCTTCAGTTTTCCATGGAGGTTTCTCGAACGGTAGATGATATCTTCATGAGTTTTAGTGCGATTCGTAGGCAAATCACCCGTGATAACTTTTGCCTGTCAAAACACAAAAAAAAATTTGCTATGGGCACAATCTACTCATCAACTTAAACACTATGAATGATATCAGCTTAGAGCTCAATCTAAGAATATCTCTGGACAACATACTAAATATGCTGCCTTGGGCGCGCTAGGCGATGGAAAAGCAGCGCCTGCTCTCTCACAGAAAAAAATTGCACCTTACAAATTTGCTCGTTCGTGAAGCCATTAGAATAATTTAAGGGCAAAGAAAAGAGGCAATTAGCGATTTTTTTTTTGTGATCTGAACTTGAACCGACAAATGGTTATAGTGCCGACATTGCCGATTTCGATTTCATGGATTGATATTAGCAAGTATGTAAGCTTTGAAAATTTTTAAATACAAATTAAGTCGCAAATTCATATAGTTTTCCCGCGAGCAATAAGAGCGCAAAAAATTGCAAATTTAATTAATATAAGCCCTTGGTTTAGCAGCGAAGATGCATTGTTCGTTTACTCTACGAGAACGAAAGAGAAAGCGTTTGAGAAATATTTGCGGAAATTCATTCCATGTAAATATTTGTGTTAATCCAATGAAAGCGTGGAAAAATGTGTTTATAAGCGTACGCGAATCTTCATCTTTTGAACTGGGTCTTTGCATAATCGCAACAACTGCTGCTGCTGCTAAGCACTTTCAATGCATACCCAATGTCGCTGCTGTTTTTAATTTTTGCACGCCAAGTTCTGAGCCACCGACAGCTTTACGTCGCCACCATAATACGCACACAACTCGCCTTTGCAACAGCTCAACACTTCCTTATGCGTGCAACAAGTCGACAGCTGGCTGACTGATAAGCCAATGCGCTCGTGTAATTACCAATAGAAGTGGCATACACTTGGTGCAACATGCGCCACTGTTTCTTCTTTCACTCTCCACTGTGCCACATGCAACATTAAGTGGGCGAGCAGCCTGCCGCGCTAATGCGTAGCAAGTTACGATCCGGCGAAGAATGGACAGCAATAGCTACAAGTACATAAGTACGTACATACATATGTATGTAGTTTGGCTTCAGCGGCAATTATTGCACTACCAGCAGCGAACAAACTTGGCGGCAACTGGGAGCAAGTCATCTAGCCACTTACAAACATAGACAACCAGTTGAATGCGCGCACCAGTCAGCTAGCCAAACACATGCAGTTGTTGTTGTGCTCCAACTTCGACATTATGTACGTTGTTGCCAGCAGTTGGAGTACTTTGTGGAGCGAAGCTAGGCCAGAGTCGCTTAGGCCAACGCTGCTTCAGTTTAGTTAGTTCGCGGTTCGAGTGCGGTCGTTGTTGCAAGTGTGCGCGCGCAAAATCATATCTGCGATAGATATTTAGACTGGTAGCAAGCAGTGAGTGCATATACATATGTATGCACATATACATATTTAAATACATATATACATATATGTATAAAAAACACATCTACATTTTGTACAACATTGCTCTTTCCTGAGGCAACTAAATTTAAACGCTGCTACTATGAATGTGACTGTGTGACACCAAGTGACTGATGACACCTCAATTAACCCGGAAAAAGAAATACTAAATATAAAAAGTTAGCTAGTTGCTGGAAGCGTTTAAGGATCGTCGCGGCGCGCAGTACGACCTTAAACTTGCGAGTCATTTGCCGTGAAGTGAAAGGAAGTGAAAAAAAAAATCATAATTTAGCAAATCGAAAAACTTCATCAAAGTCAACTAAGCGAAACTGCACTGCCAAAGTAATGCAGTAGCTAATTATACAAAAACAAAAAAAGGAAATAAATAAATAAATAAAATAAATGCGCTGAGCCGCAAAGTGAGTGTATGAAAAATGCAAATGCAATTAAGCGCAAAGGATACATTGAACCTGTGGATAATATTCATCTGTAATTGCTTCGTTTTGAATGCCACAAATTTGGGGTTTGTGCGAGGCAAGTTTAATGTTGGCACACCGCCGAGTTACTCATTCATTAAGTTGCAATTAAAAGTTGTTCAATTTCGAAAGATTTATGTATATGTATGATTGTGAGTTGTATGTAAGTATGCAGCAAAATTATCAGCATCCACGCATGCGCGTGCGTCCGCATCAATTTGGCGCACACGCACTTTTATGGTCAACACCGCAGCGCAACGAGTATGCGCCTAGCTAGACACCCGCGTTGTTGCATCTTTCTTGCTTTGTGTGGTGGCTTGTTGCGCATCTTGGCATGCGGCATGCTGCATTACTGATACCCACGGCCGCGACCATGGCATTGGCCAACACACAAGCACAACAACAACAATGAGCACTGCCATCAACAACCACATATACATACGTACATATGTAGCTAATACAATGTTAGCAGCGCTTATGTGGAATGATCCGTTAAATAACCTCATTTTGGATTAAATGGCTGCACATCTTGTTTGACTTTTTGCTCCTCTTTATTCCTCTTTGTACGCGTTAATGTTTATATTTTTTATATTTCTCTCTATTTTTTATGGTTTTCACGTTAACAACGTTTTAACACACACACACATGCATGCAAGTGCTACGTTAAAAAATTTGCTCTTGTTGTGCCACCTTAATAAAAACATTATATATATACTTTTTTTAATAACTACTTTTTATTGCCCGCCCAATTTGTGGTTTATTCGGTCATGAACCCGATTTTTTGGCAGACACACACACACACACATAGTAACATTCGAGAGCTGAAGCCGTACTCAAACAGGAAAGCAATGAAAATTCACGTAAGCTCGCAATATTTTGCCGCCGGCTAGTGGGCTGGCTTGGTTAGTTTTAAAATCGTCGTTGCGCATTTTTTTGACGTAAATTCAAATTATGAAAATTGCTGGTAGCGATTTTTAACTGAAAGGTGCGAATTCAGGAAAACGGCAATTTAAGTGTTCATAGTTATTGGTTGTTATTAAATGACGGAAGTTGTACAATCTGGTATACAGAGAGTAATATGACAAGCCACTAAAAGTGATTGAGTAACAGCGAAATGTTATGTGAGCAAATGAAAGGATAATGTATTTTGAACGGTGTGCGCAAAAAGTGATTTTCTAAAAAAAAATAACATGAAATCGACAAAATACAAAATTTCGGTAAACTATGATTTGTTGGAAACAAAGTAACGTGACCCTATTATTAAGCCTACACTGAGAAAAAATAAACTACATATGTATATCGCATTACTTTCAAACCAAAACACACACCTATTTGTTTGCTACAAGAGTGTCATGATCCAAAAAATATAAAAATTGTAGTTAAGTATTCAGAAATGAAAGCGAAACTACCGGAATCAGAACATCACGATTCTAACTGACAGCCAAGCTGCCATCAAGGCTGGTGATGGCGTGCCTTGATATGCTTAAAACTCTTGGCCTGACCAATCGAGTGTGGGTTTTCTGGTTTATTAGTATTAAAAGAAACAAAGTTTCCCAAAGCACTTTAGGCTCTATAATAAAGTTTCCCTAGGATACTGGATAATTATACCCGCTACACTAAGCGCCAAATTAAACATGTTGGCTCGGTATTGAGTAAAACCAAATGCAAGTGATATATATATGGTCGTTTAAAGTACAAACCGCGTATCGTCATTCTGAAAAACCGCGTAACTGACATTGGCTGCTAAAAAATAGATTAGCTTACACAAGCTCTTGGCTCAATCCTTATCCATTTTTCCTGAAATATACTAGACAGAAATGCGATTGCTTTATAAAAACGAGAACCATTTTGGAATATAAGTGTTTTTACGATCTAGAAAATAATTTTTGCAACCTCGCATACGCGTTTTGCATTATCTTGATACGCGGTTCAGCAAAATTCAAAACCGCGTATGTGAAGTTGTAGAAATAATTTTCTAGATCGTAAAAACACTCATATTTCAAAATGGTTCTCTTTTTTATAAAGATATCGCATTTCTGGCTAGTATATTTCAGGACGAATGGATAAGGATTGAGCCAAGAGCTTGTGTGAGCAAATCTAATTTTTGGCAGCCAATGTCAGTTACGCGGTTTTGCAGAATGACGATACGCGGTTTTGTTCTTTAAACGACCATATATATATATATATATTATTATATATTATATATATATATATATATATATATATATACATAGTATAATAAAGGAAAGTCGAGATTCTTTGTACGCGGTAATATCGAAAACTACTGAACGGATTTTGACGAGATTTTCTCTAATATACTCTGTATCGACAGGAGAGTGACCTCTTTTATACTTAGAATTTTAATAGGGTTGCCACTTGTCACAAAAACTATAAGATCCGCACCGTTTGTTGGATTACAAAAGATGAGGTGACAAGTGATAGGGATTGGCCTCTAGAAAAGCACTAATATTTTTTTCAATAGAATTGCCACCTTTTAATAAAATTCCTATATGTTATCATGAGGGAACGGATTTTATGGAAATTGCCTTTTTTCTGCTAAAGAGATAGAGTATATTCGATTAAGAATGTCCACGATTTAGCTTTCCCTGATTCCATATATACACATTTGATGCTGCCTATTTTTGCCCTTTTTTAAGATATTTGCCTTTTTTTGCCTTTTCTACCTTTGAAAAAGTGATTATAGCATTTACAATTTTAAGATTAAAAAATATACACATTGTCCATGCGGCTTATAGAAGCGCAGGGACCTTTTCTTGCCTTTTTCGCTATTTTGTTTTGCCTTATTTGCAATACCTAGTGCCTTTTCCTGCCTTTTTCGTTATTTTATTTTGCCTTTTTTATAGGTTTTTAGGTCCTAAAAATCAGTTCCCTGGTAATCATAATAAGCGTAGGCACCAGTTCTGCAACGTCACTGTCAAACGAAAAGACAGCCTCTACATGTGCAATAATGTATTACTTTTCTGAGGGTTGCCACCTATTATAAAGTAAAAAAAAAATTTCGCCGTTAGTTGGATTACAAAATGAGATACCAAACGAAAGGGCCTGGCCTTTGCATGCTCAAAAGCTTTCATTTTTTGAATAGGGTTGCCACCTATTTCAAAATTACTATCTTCCATTCATAGTATAAAGGAAAGTCGAGATATTTTGACTACGCTAATTTCAAAAACTACCAAACGGATTTATACGAGATTTTTCAAGTATAATCTTTATCGATAAAAATATTATCCTTAGTACTTTAAATTCCTGTAGGGTTGCCACCTGTCTAAACAATTATTAGATCCGTACTGCTCGTAGGATTACAAGAAATGAGGTGTCAGATAAAAGGGCTCGGCTTTTAGATGTTCAATAATGTATTACTTTTTGAGTAGGGTTGCCACTTTTTAAAAATTATAAATTCTTCACCGTTTGTTGGACTAAAAACAGAGATACCAAGTGAAAGGATATGGTCTCTGCATTTACAATAAGGAAAAGGCTTGACCTTCCGATTCGCAGTAAGGCTTTATTTTTCGATGAGGGTTGCAGTCTGTGCGAAAAATTTATAAATGTGGGCTGTTCGTTCGATTGCAAGAAATCAGGTGCCAAATGGAAGGGCTTGGCACAATTATATATTATATTTTAGTAGGGTTGCAACCTGTTTATTTGTCAATCGCATCTTATTTAATATCTACACATTCAGCGCGTAGCGAAGCCTCGCGCATACGCGCATATATATATATTTATATATATATATGTCAACAATATTACGTCAATGGATTTTTTTTATAGTTTAGCTCAAATAAGGATGATTTCCTTAATTGAATCCTTGCACACAATTTATTGTTTAATTGGGTTAAGTTCTTAAAAAAATATTTTTACAATTTTTTGATACGAGGAATTAATTTTTGTGATTTAAGGATTTCAAATAATTAATTTTGTGATTTCACTATTTACTGTATTTTGTTATATTCTTTTGTCCTCTCTTATTTCAAACTTTCCTTCTCTTTTGCTTTTATTTGGATTGTCCAAGTCACCGTCATGATTGTCATGTCAAGAATATACACAAAATGTCAAGAATTTAAAAAGTTTAATTGAAACAAAATTTTTTTAATCGAAAATAACAATTATTTTTGATTTTTATATAAATAATCTGCAAATAACAGTTTATTTTTTTTTTATTTTTATTTGGATTGGCCACGATTGTTTATTAGGAAAAATTTTGGAGATCACCACATCTCCTCATCAGACTTATTTTTTCTAGACTTCAGCAGGGATCGAACCTTATTATTATCAATAAATTTAAATTACGTCTTAGACAGGGGCGGACCCAGCAGAAATTCTTTGGGAAATATTTTTTCAACATATATCGCGAATAACATACTAAAATAGTATGTACTGAAGTGGACAAAGCACAAAATAAATGTTCAGAAAAGTGGAAAACTTGTGAAATTTTTCAAATATGTTAATATATTTTAGAATTCTAAGAATTTTCTAGGTTTTACAACAATTTGTGATGTCTCGCATCTTTACATTTTAGAATGGATTTCAGAATAGATAAAATTCTCAAAATTTTGAAAAATATAAAAATCTCTAAAATCTCAATAAGTTTGCACATTTCATAATATTCTCATTTTACCAAAATTTCTAGAATCTCCCATATTTCGATAGTTTTTAAAATCTTGGAAATTATCCTAAAAATAAGAAATCTCAAGAGATATAATAATTTCATGAAATTCAAAATTTTGGAATTTGGAATTTTTGTTATTCTCTAAACCTGCGAGACCTGTGACTTTCAACTATGTAAAATAGTAGTATGTAAATAGTAGTAGCTGCTAGGCATTTTTCACCAGTGTGTTATAATTATATGATAAACATATAATTTTTCATAAAAATAACGAAATAGATCAATCATTGCGCAATTATGCGGACGCAGATACGGTCAATAATTGCGCAATTTTATAAGTGCTCACGATGTTGCAGGAAAATCGCACTCACGTGTGTTCACAGTGCGACATAATACTTTTATTTACAAAAATGTATAATATTGTTTTAAAAGTGGTACCCATTCCAAAAGGGGTATTTTTACCTTAATGATAAAAAGATAATTTTTTAATTCTCTCGGCACACGCACAACGCAGTTAATTGCACTGCTCTATTTTTAATATAGGGATCAGGGGCCATGCAAAGATTACCAAAAACTCATGAAACAGAACGAAGCAAGAAAAAAAAACTATCAGTATTTTCTTCAAACCAAACCAATTTTTTTTTAAAGAGATAATTAATAATAATTAATCATAATTAAAAAAGGGAATTCGCCATTTCTCGAAATGAGCCTCTAAAATCGAGCTACGGACCTCCGAAGTTCGAAATTGGACCTTTGGTAAAAAATTATTTTTAATTACTGTATGCTATAAATTATTCTTCAATTCCCAATACCAGGCGTTCGTGTTTCTATACGAAAAAACTTTTTTGTAGCAAAAAATATTAACAAAATGGCTTTGAATGATTTGAACATTTTTCATTCATTCATTCACATTCTTCCATTTGAAGGTAGAAGATTTAAAACGAAATGAATTTTCATAAATTGCACAATTCAGAATGCTAAGTGTTTTTTATATGAAGTAGAATATCCAAATCTACTTTACTCTGTTTCGCAGGAACTTTGAATCAACTCATGCAGAGATCTTATATGTATGTACACCTGTGGTTGCGTATGTAACGTATACGCTCCGTAGCACCATGCGCAGTCTTCTAACACGTTTGCTCGCATGCCTTTACTTAAGTCATCTTATTCCAAAGTAATTAAATATTGGCGTGGGAGATTTTTACGCGCCCAACTAGAAAGGAAACGTACATTTCTCGATCGGAAAAAAGTTGGAGAAAGGCTCGTAAATGATAAAACAAAAAAATCAATAGAAAAAGGCAAAGGTAGTAACTTGTCAGCACAAGAAAAAGTTTTAATTTTATTGGAAATTTTTGTTGAACCACAATATTTTATAATATAAATAATTCGCATACATACGAATGCCTTTTTGGATCCGTTTACGATTGTTCGTAGGTGCTCCACAATTTCACGCGAAAAAGTACCCATTCGAAAATGAATCGTAAACGGCTATCATAAACAAGTTTTTATTCGATTTTTCATCGAGAAAATATCCATTTACGAGCTCCTTTACGGTGATTATTTTTTTGGCTGAGTAGTAGTCCTTATGCCCATATAAGTATATTACTTTCTTCATGTAAAAAACAATTTTAGAATGAATTTTGAGTTTGCCAATAAAAATTGTAAAAATGGAATTTTAGTTTATTAAATCATATGTATGTAGTCATTTTACTCATTTTTTTTTTTTCATTTGGTGACACACTAGTTTTATTACACTGGGTTCGTTTTTTATCAAGAAGAACATTTAGACCTATCTAAAATTGTTAAAATTAAAAAAAAACTCTTGCAATTTCAAAAATTACAAAATAGCTGCGACAGATACTCTGCATGCTGCCATTTTTTGTTTAATTTCGTGATAAACTCTTTACACTTCACATATATGTTGTATTTGATGCCAACGTCCATTGCTTTTAATATGAACATTCTATTTGGAAACTTCACAAAGTAACTAAAATAAAAATAATTATGATTTTTTCGTGTGACAATGAAAATGTGAGTGATTTCGGTACTTTTTCGCCTAAATAAATATTTTAAGGCTAAAATTGTTCAAATAGTTGATTTATTTTTTAATGTATCTACTTATTTCTGGAACTCCATTGATTGAAATTAATACAAGAAGAATGCTTTGCCGTTTCTTTTCTGACGTGTGAAGGGAGTGACTCTAAAAAATAATTCATGGGATTTGCTCATATACACATGTATGTACTTATGAACGTTTATTTTTTCGACACTACTGAGAGCAAAAAAAATAAAAGTAAACTTTGGCTCTTTTTCGTAAAACTCTTCAACACTGCATGGGCCACTTCCTAACTAGGCTTTGAAAATGATAAATAGTCCTACCTACTATATTATGCCTAATTCTCAAAAAGTTAAAATGATAGAAAAACATTTGCCAGACAATAACAAATTTTCTAAGGTACGTAGATATATTCAGTAGGGTTTTCCAAAAATGAAATGCATGTAAAGGAGTAAAGTCGGAATTTTAATGTCCTTACCCACTGGATTGTTCTTTATCGAAAATAGAGATATACTATTTGTATTTTGAAATCAAAAAATATATAGAGGTCGCTCAAAGCGTCCAAAGTTTTACATGCATTTAATATGGGGAAAAGCAACTTTTTGTAGAAATGGTATAGAATTCTTAAATATCAATATTATTTTATTGGAAAACTTTGTTTCTCTTCAAGAGATTTCCAATAATAACACCAAATCATTATTATTTTTCATAGTAGCTATATTTTATAAGTCCGCCAAAACCTCAAACAAATGCCAGAAAATTCAATGGGGGGATATAAAAAATCTTTACTATTAAAAAAAATCGTTAAATAACAAATTAGGTATTATTATTAGAAGTCTCTAAAGAAAATCAGACTTTTTCCGTCTAAAAATATTAATTTTCAATAACTATACGTCATTTCTATAAAAAGTTGTTTTTTCCCCATGCAAAATACTTGGAAAATTTTGAGCGTATATATAGGGGTATATTTTTTCGATATAGAACAATCCTAGGGGGTGAGGGCATTAAGATTCCGCCTTTACTTATTTTGGACCACCCTAATGTGCATACATGCATATTTCTTCTCAAGATAATCATCCGCTTTTCGGAGGCGACATAAAACCATCTGTCACTGCATTTGTACGACAGGATGAGCACCGCAAAAGCTTAGCGAAATATGTCAGCGCCAAATCTTTATTTTCTGAATGAATGAAACAGCAGGGCTATACTGATTCAAAAAACTGAAAAATGGGAGTAGAATATTAGCTTATATTTTTCAAAATTTCGCTTAGGACAGATGGCATACACTTCTTATAAAAGATTTATAAAAAGACTACGTCATAGCGGCTATTCGGTTTATTTATTTAGCTTACCCTTTTGAAACTAAAATTAAATGCCACTGTGACACTACATTTGCTTTTCTTACATTTATGCTTGTGCATAAATATGACCATATATTATATATACATATGTACATATATACATATGTACATATGATCTTGGTTTTTTATTTATATAAAAATTCATACGGAAAAGAAAGAAAAACCTGTTGATTTCACCAAATGTAAAGTATTTCGTGATAAAGCTGCCGGAAAAAATGTCGGCCCGTGGTGGACCGTCGCGTGTCAATCTGGATCGTGTTGCAAATGCGTTGCCAACAATATGCCACAACTAACACTCTCACACAAGGTATGTGCAACAATTCTTCGAATGCACAGAGACAGAATACTTTGAATAGATTAACTTAAATAAAAACCACAATTGAAAGAGAAAAAACAATAGTACATAGTAGTAAAAACAAAAACCATGACAGCTCTAAAAATTTCATCAGCAGTATGTACCAACATGCTGCTGCTGCAGCTATAGCTACAAACAGGCTCACATACAGTTTGCATGTAGTACCCATGCCATAAAGAAAATTTAGTTAATTATGTCATGAGGGTGGGAAAAAATATTAAAGTGCTGCACATTCACATTGTACCCACTGTGCAGTTTCTGTTGCTGCACTTGCACCGCGCGTTGCCGAGGTTGGCATTGTTTCGGAAGGAGTAAAGTAAAACAGGTACGCACGCGTATGTTGCAAGCCAAAGCAATAACAATAGGGGTACTAACAACAAGCAAATAAGAGTGAAAAAATGTAGAAGAAAATTTACAGCCAGCAAACATTTGTGCGAAAAAAGTGGGCGAAAAAATGAAAATGGCTATGTGCAACCACACGCCAGTCAATCAGGTGTATACATATGTATGTATTGTACAATTCCTAAAGCCCCTTTAGATCAACTTCACTTACCGTCCGCTTAGTCCCACCCAAGCGGCTGATTGGTACTGAGCATATATACATATGTATGTATAAGGCGGATTTGAGAAGATGTAGGTAAGTATACTATAAAATTCTCACTGAAAACAAAATTGAAAAAAAAAACAAAAAAAAAAACACTAAAGAAAGTTTTTATCGTTGATGCCATTGCTGCAATATCTGCAACTGTTGACACGTTGCAGTGCCGTGGAACATATTGATATATTCATTGTGGAGGTGTTGCAAGGTTTTCGCACGAGCCACAATATTAATGAATTTAATGTGAATTTTTAGTTTGAAAAACCTGATCGGCTTGGTAGACATATGTATGTAGCTGTCACAAATTGCTTACGCACAAATTTTAATATATGTATGAATGTGTACACACTGTCAGTTTCTGGCTGTATCGTACGCATATCAGGAACAATCTGAAGTTCGAGATTGCCCCCTATAAGCTTGCACACATGTAAATGATTTACAATAAGTAATATGGGATATTTTCAGATATTAGCTTTTTCTACACGCGCCCAGGCAGGATCCGGTAATTAGAGAGTAGAAAACGGTAAATTAAAAATCCAGTAGTGTCTCTATTATAAGACCTTGAACGATTTATGGTCAATATGTTAGAATCGTTTGGGTGTTTTCATAACTCTGAATTAATCGATGAACTTGCTTGAGATTACGTCCGGGCAGCAATCGAATGTTAATATTCTTCTTTAAATTTGCTATTATATGGTCGCATGCATTCTATACAGTACGCCTATAGATATGCAGAATATGTATTGATTTAAAATTTTTGTTTTATTCTGCGCGCAGCTACTCCAGGATGCGCTTTTCACATGTACGATGGCGTTTCCGCAGAAAGTGAGGGAGTGCGTTTTATACGCTTGCGAGAAGATGCTGAGATTGGTAAAGAAATACTCCTACTGCGTGCCTACCCCCGCTCTACCATAGCGCTAAGGAGTGTCGATAACTCCGGTGATCATAAGTATTTTGGATTAACGGAATTAAACACCACCACAGTACGCATTACGCTTACACGCTCCATTGAAGATCTTGTAGATCGCGATGTGCCGCGGAATTTGCTGAAATTTCGTGTGGTGTGTGCGGGCAAAAATGAAAAGCTTGAAGAGGTAATTGGGTGAATAAAGCTTCTGGTACTAATAATATAATTAAATATAATAAATTGTAGGGCAGTTACCTATCGATCACGGTTTATATTGAAGATGTCAATGACAATGCGCCGGAATTTCTAAACACTCCCTATATTGTGGACGTGGATGAGAATACGCCACCTGGCACAATCGTCTTTGAAGGCATACAAGCATTCGACCGTGACAAACCGAATACACCCAACTCGGAGGTACACTTCAGCATGTCTACGGTGCCAGAGCAGCTCTCCGCCGATGGTAGTCCATACTTTTCGCTTAAAAGTCCACATCGCGCCCTGCTAATACTAAAGAAGGAATTGGATTTCGATAATGGCATACGACTGTTTAAGCTGCCGCTTTTTGCCTGGGATCGTGGCACTCCAGCCAATCAAGTCAACACGACGATAACTATTAACGTGCGGGATGTGGATGATTTGCCACCAAAATTTACCGAGGGCGTGTATCGTACCAAGATCAATGAATTCTATCCTATGACGGTGAGTATATATGTATGTAAATGTACTTGCACTAGGGTGGAGCGGAAACAATTTTCATTATGAAATTCGAGTAGCGGGGGATCGTTACGTTTGGACGTCAACAGAATACCGCTACATTTTTGTGAAATACGTAAATATTTTCTGCCTTCCATTTTTAATGAAATTGTGAGATTTATTTAAATTCTAAACAGATAATTTCTATAAAAACTCTTTTTACCGTAAGCTGTTGTGTAAGCCATTAAATTTTAGAACAATAAAATGAAGGCTTGAAATAGCTAAGACTTGCACTTGGTATAATTTTTTTTTTGTCGAAGGTCTTGCTCATTTTCTGCATATAAAACATGTCCAAACTTTGTGTGGTACAAAATACGTAATGCCATTAAAAAAAAATTAAAATTAAAAAACCAGCGGTATTTTGTGGCCACTCTAAACTTGCACTCTGTTATACAAAATTTAATGGCCTACCAAACTGCATACATAATTACATTATTTGTTTAGAATTTAAAAAAATCTGAAAATTTCAATCAGAAATGGGAGGCAAAAAGTATTAACCGATTTCAAAATTAATTAAGGGGTATTAAATTGGCGTCCTCAGGCAACGATCCCACGCCATTAGAACTCCGTAACGCAAAATTTTTTGTTTCCGCTCCACCCTAATGTACAAATATGTATATCAGACACAATTTTAAAGAGCTGGAATTGTATACTTATTTGTTTCCCTTTCTCTTATCATCTTTGATCTGTACCATTTTAGAGTATACCCATCCGCTTACCACTCTACTTCTCTCCCCCGATCATGGCGTTTGACCAGGATTCGCTGAACGCTACACTGGTGTATGAGATCATTTCCGGTAATGAGCGTAAACTATTCCGCGTCAACCCGAATAATGGCATCTTATACCTTCAAAAAGAGGTTGACTTGGAGGAAGAAAGTTTACCGGGTAACACGTTCGTTCTACAAGTCGAAGCGCGTCAACGAGAAAATCCTTTGAAAAAAGCTGTTGCTAGGTATTCCAGTGAATGCAGTTACACATGTATAGCAGCTTAAAATTTATTTGTATTAATTAATTTTGTGTTCAATAGAATCGAAGTGGAAATACTTGATCTTAATGATAATGTGCCCGAATTCGAAGCTGACTTCTACAACATTTCGATTGTCGAAAATCTACCTACCGGGTTTAGTGTGCTTCAAGTAAATGCCATCGACCGCGATCAAGGCGAAAATGCTGAGTTCTTGTATCAGCTTACCGAAGAGCCGGAAGTCGCAGATGCTTTTCGCATTGATGCCAGAACCGGTTGGATTACGGTGAACGATGATCGACTGCTTGATCGCGAGCAACGCAAGTCACTGCATCTGATGGTTGAGGCAATCGAACGTAATCCGCCATATATAACAGACGCTAACCTGCGGAAACCTGGCCCAAGTAGAGTCAAAGTGGACATTACCTTATTAGATACAAATGACAATACGCCGAAGTTCGAGCATGGCAATTTGTATGAGTTCAAAGTACCCATTACTGCCGCAGTGGGCTACTTAGTGGGACAAGTTGTTGCGCTGGATCCTGATGAGGGGCCCAACGGCATGCTGTTGTATGAGCTTCAGCGACCGAAGGGGAGCGGCTATATACCTTTTCGATTGGATACGAAAAATGGCACAATTTACGTCAATGGGCCTTTAAGACGTGGGCGCATAGCTGTGTTTGTGGAAGCGAGTGACCAGGTAGGAAACAAAAACACTTTACCATCACATTCCATATGAAAACTGTTTTTTATCTTTAGCCTACGAATCCATCGGAGCGACGTTTTTCTTTGGCCGTCATCACGATAGAGGTCTATGCAACGATCGATGATCAAGTTATTGATTTTGTGGGCGCGCCATATGAGTTTTGGGTAGGCTCCAATGCGCCTCTAGGCACTTCGGTGGGTCAGGTGCGCACAACTCTTATCTATGAGGGGGAAGATGAAATCATGTACGATCTGTTGCACACATACTCCGAGGGTGTTCCTTTTGCGATCGAAGAGCGTTCAGGCATTATAACTGTGATACGGGAATTGTCAGAATTTACGCGAAAGGTGTATCTCTTCGAAGCGGTGGCCAATTATGTGGGTGAATGCCATACTGCTTCAATTATTAAGCATTATTAATCTCTTGTTATACACATGCTTTCAGCTCTTTGCCAATTCTACACAAACACTCATTATGTCGCGAAGTTCGCCTCCCGTAACTGTTACACCAACGCAGGCAGATATGACCGACGAAGGCGTGCTTATAACCAATGTCACCATTCATGTGGTAATGAAACCCGAGCAAAAAGTTCCATTGCGACCGGTTATTGAGTAAGTTTAACCTTACCCCTTGGGGAGTTTAATAATTTAATTGTATCTTTATTATCGCCGCAGAGAAATCAACATGAATGTCATCCACTTCCATATCGAGGAGAATCTAGTTGGTGGCATCATTGGCCAACTACTCTACAAGAATGGCATCAATGTACTGAATAATGAATTGGGCACTTACCGTACGCTACAATCTACGAGCAATGTAACTATGGGAAGTCGGTTTCGTAGTCGCAGCCGCAGTCGAAACCCCGCGAATGTTTCGCGCATGCGCTCACCTCGACGTCTACTGGGTGACTCGAATATCAAATTGCGATATATTATCGCTAACCAGCAGGAGGTGGTTAACAAAATCAGCATCACCGAAGACGGCACATTGCTCACGCTGACCGGTCTTGATCGCGAGGAAAAGGATCAGTACGATCTTACAGTGATTGTTGAGTACACAACGGGCTTGGTCAGTGGCGCCGGTATATACCAAGTGACCGTTAAAGTTGACGATGTCAACGATAATGCACCCAAATTCAATAGCTTATCCTATGTCGGTCTGATTAACGAAAATAGCGCCAGCGATACAGAGATTTCGGTTAATCAGCCAATTCACATTGCCGATGCTGATTTGGAGAAGAACGCTGAGTTTCGTGTAGTACTGCAGGGCGACTACAGCGATCAGTTCTCCATTGACTTCTACAATGTTAGCCATGAAGCACAAAATAGAAGTCGTCATGCACCGCAAACACCGGCCACTTTCAGTGTCTTCAACTTAACTGATCAGTGGAATGAGGAATTTAAATTTGTGGAAATGCAAAATATGCTCATGCAATCCAATTTAAAGTTGACGAGCGGTCCATATTTTCGTGTCAGCTACACTGGCAAACGTCCACTCGATCGCGAGAAAGATCAAATTTATAAACTGAAGCTTATTGCCATCGATACTGGTGGCTTATCTACCTATTCACATCTGAACATACTTGTGGCCGACGTGAATGACAATGCCCCCATTTTCGAACGCATCTCCGTATTCAAGGAGTCAAAGGTGGAGATCCGTGAATATACGACCGATATGGAAATTTATTTTGTGGACAACTCTGCCGTTCAAACGATGGACGCGATACAATCAGCCATGATTGTACCACCTTATCATATACCAGGCTCCCCCCGTCTCAGTTCGGAGTTTGCTTTCAACAACAATTATACGGATATGCGCCAACAGCGTGGTCGACGTTCGCGCAAGCGCCTGGGTCGCGGGGCCGGACAAAAGCCAATAATGAAGTGTCCATTATTTGCCATATATGAAAACACGCCCATTACCACAAAAGTGTTGCAGATCATGGCGAGTGACGAAGACTATGGCAGTAATGCGGTGGTACATTATGAATTGACCGTCGAACATGTGGAGCGTCCTATAATAGGCACACAATTTCCAGCGCGCTTTTCAGGTGTGAAGCATTTCGCTATTGACAAGCTGAGTGGAGAATTGATGGTCAACTATCCATTGGCGGCCAACTTGGATATGTTACTAAATCTTACCGCCACCGACATCGATGGACTGAAGGACATTACGTGCCTGCGTTTTACTGTGGTCGATGTCAATGACCATGCACCGGTTTTCAAAAAGTCGTGGTACAGTTTTGATACCGAAGAAGGTGAATATCAGGACAGTGTCCTGGGTCAAGTGTTGGCAGTAGATTTGGATTACGGCGAGAATGCGAATGTTTCATATAGTCTGAGCGAAGCAGATTTGCCCTTCAAGATCAAAACATTGTCTGGCGTCCTAAAGATCACTGGTATATTGGACCGCGAAGTGCATCCGAAGTATAACTTTCAAGTTATTGCCATCGATAATGCGGAACCACTATATCGTATGTCGAGTTCGGTTGATGTTGAAGTTAATGTTATAGATATCAATGACAATAAGCCCGAGTTTATCGGCTACGATGACATTGTAAGTGCGCAAAAGTATATTGCCGATTTGCCAGATCGCACACTAATGCTGCCCATCTACAAGGCTTATTTAGATCGCAGTACCAAAGCTGGAATGTTTGTTAAACAAGTAAATGCAATAGATAAAGATTACATTGGCAATGGCAATGGCCTGGTGCTCTATTCCATACTACACCAAGACATACACAATCCCATATTCCAGGTAGATTCGCGAGACGGCACAATAACAACCGTAGCGAGTTTTCGTAGCTACAATGATTATGAACATCTCAATGTAACAGTAGTTGCATCGGATTTAGGCAGTCCAGCACACTCGTCCACTGCCATTGTGCTTATCAATCTGCAAGGACAAGCTGTCACAGAAGCGCCGATAGATGAGACGGATCTGCACAATGAGCAACGCAACCTTAGCTTATTTCAACACCAGTACCATGAAGTACAAGTACTTGAAAACAACAATGCGCCATTGGAGCTGATAAGAGTCAATCTTACTGCTGGTATAAATCCTGAAGTCTTCCGTTGGAGTTTAATTATGGAAGGAGAAGACGAACAAGAATTCGACGCGCAACCACTCTTCGAATTAGATCCGAAAACCATTACGCTATACGCTTTAAGGTCTTTCGATCATGAACTGAAAAGCCGATACCAGTTACGTGTGCATGCCGATCGACTAAATCGCGAACCGCGTAACTATGCACGAATATCGTACCCCGTGACAGATGAGCGTGTCAATGGTTTGGATCCGAATGAGTGTCGAATTGTTGTGAATATCCAAGACGATAATGACAATGAGCCTCGCTTTAAGTCCGCTGGTCAAGCCATTATTGCAGTAGTGCCACGATCGGCTACGTTTGGCTATCCAGTGACAATTGTGAAGGCAATCGACGCAGATGAAGGGGTAAATGCGGAAATACGTTATCGTTTACTGAATGAGCCTTCCCGGCTTTTTGGAATTGATGAGCTAACAGGTAAAATACGGCTCGTGGGTACTGTGCCAATGGATGAGCGTGTATACGGGTTCGATGTGAAAGCTACTGATCGTGCCGGTGCGGATGATGGTCGCAGCAGTATTGTAAATGTTTTCGTGTATATCATCGATGAGGCACGGCAAGTACGTATTGTGGTGGCTGGAAAGCCAGTCGAGGTAGAGCGTCGCATCGATGCTCTAATGCAGGCGCTAAGTGAGGCCATACAGATGGATGTACGTGTGCGATTGCTGGAACCGCACGCGGGTGGACTTGAACCGGCGTAAGTGATTTCTTTTAGTAAATAAAATTGTAACAATATTTACAAATGTATATTTTTGAAATATTATAGAACCGACGCCTACATTTATGCAGTGGACTACCGCACAAATGCCATTTTGGAAATGGAGCGACTGCAGGAGTAAGTATTAAATGTGTATGACTAACTGCGGTGGCATGCCGTACCTAAATTTGAGTGATATACGCTCCGTTTTCTAGTGCCAACGAGTCAGAATCAAATTGTTAACGTTTTCTCCTTCCTTTCCTTTCCTATTTCACTTTTATTGCTTGCTTTCTTTCTGTTGTTCGCATGCAACCGCAGCATGTAACTCGCTGTCGAAAACTACATACATTTCGATTTGCTTAAACAAAATCTTGTTAAATAACCGCTTCAGAAGAAAAAATTTGCTTAATTCAGCAATTCAATTATAAAAGTCCCGGCTAATTAAAAAAACACACCAAGTAAGAAAAAGATGAAAGAGAAGAACATGTTATGTAAGAAACATTGTTTATAACATTATACCTGGCAAGGTGGAATTTTAGGACCAAAATATATACAAAGACTGGTTATGCTAAACATTTGAGAAGGAGGAGTTAGACATAGTTCGATTGTCATACATATCTTTTATTAAAAAAGGTAAAATGTTTAAGACGTCAGCGTTTTGTTTAAATCAGTTTTCAATGATAACCGTTATTGTCTTGTAATGAAAATTTGCCAAATATTTCGCAGTTAAAAGTTATTTCACATATACATACATAAACTCCGAACAACCATACGATGAGATGGTCTAAGATAGATATCTAAAAGATTAATTTGTTCAAAATTAAAGTATTCCATTTTATGTAGTTAATTTGTAATTTAAGTAAACAAGCACTGAATTTCATAAGTTGGAAAGCATTTTCTATTGTAATATGCAGTTTTGCCAACTCCAATGAACCGAAAATCCCATTCTCCTCTGAAAAGCGCCCTGTTTATCCAATTTTTAAATTCGAAAATCCCATTTATGAATATTAAATATTAAAAGCTTTTAATAACAATATACTATATATAAAAAGTATTCATGGCAGCCAGCCCCGGTCTGCGGTTTTCACTTTTCTTGTGCTGCACATGGCCTTATGGTTGTCTCTACAGCTATAAACAAAGCCGTAATGCGACTATCTTTGATATACAATTTTTTTTTTTATCAAGTTAGCAGGCCTGTCTGTGTATTGAAGGTTACAAGGCAAAAAATAAAAGATAATTACCCAAAAAGAAATAAAAATTCATGGACTTTAAAAAAAGGTTAGTTATTATAAAACTACGTTTATGGAGAAGTTGTCAGCTTATTGGGCGTCCTACCCGTCCCACCAAAATATGTTTTTTTTCAACTTAACTTACAAATACGTCAGCTTCCCATTGTTTAAATAAGGTACGTTAAATAAATATTCATATCAAATTAGTAGTATTCATTTTACTCACGAACTATGTGTCCTCGATAGTGACTCCTCTCACCCGTCACAAAATACTGTCCCACCCTTCACTAGTTAAAGGTTTTTTTTAGTATAATAATGTCATCAAAGCATAAACTGAACCTTAACATTCTATTAGCTACATTCGAGAAAGCCACTATGCACGAAATATTTTGATATAGTTTGCCTAAAATTGAGAAAGGAATCAGGGTTGCCACTGACAAAAAAAAATTACCATCCACTTGATAAAAATCTACCTAATCTGAAAAATATATACCAATAAATTTTTATAGTTATTTAAATAAAAACTATAGTTTTGTAATTTTTTATTTATTTTAATTAAAACTATATTTTTTATTTTTTTTAGTTATTTCAATAAGAATTAAAATTTTTTTTAAGGAACTTTTTATTTAGCCAATTAACCGAAAGCGGAAGCGGAAGTGATGAAACTAAAGGCAACAACGAAACTTCATAATTTGAAAAACTTAAACTCGAGTTATTATAGACAAATACAGTGACTCAAAAAGGCACTTGGTGATTTTTTTATTATTCGCAATCTTTTTCAAGAACAAATTTTTTGTTTCTTTAACTAAATCCATACAACATTTAGCAAAATTCAAAAAAATTTCGTTCAAATTTTTTACTCTGAATTTTTAGAACAATTTAAGGTATCGAGTTTTAAAGCAAATAATACTTGAGTATAGCCCACAATGTGCTTCCCGTTGATGTGTTTTTGACGCCAGTCTTTTGTGTTTTTTTTTTATTTAAAAATTTCTATTGATAAACAATTGCGTTGAGTTAATTTTTTTGTGAACAGTCATAGTGCGTCATTACATACCTGTAAATTTTTTCCTTATAGGGATTTAAATAATCATTTAAAATATTTAGGCAATCAAAAGCTCCTCGGGATTCCAGTAAAATGAGTTTTGAATGGAGCACGATATGTTCGCCTTATATCGATATACATTTATACTTATGTAAGTATATAAAATGTATGCAAAGAAATTTAAAATATAAAAATAACTACGAAAAATAAATTGCGAACGAAGAGTTCAACAAAAATCTACCAAATGCGAAAAAAATTTACCTTTTTACCAACCCAAATTTTGTCTTCCAATTTTGGTAACAATTTACCAAAGTGGCAACCCTGAAAGGAATCCAACAACTCAGAGAGGCGGGTGTCGTCGTTGTCTTGGGAATGAAAAGTTTCTGTGTATATTGTGTATATTATTTACATAATTAAGTTTTATACTTCACTGAATTCAGATGTTAATAGTTTGGAACCTGCCAAATTAAGGGTTAAAGAGAAATTACATTACATTTTGAGAAAAAACGAGTTTAAATGTCCCACCTGCGGCCACTTGCGGTCGCTGTGGTGTAGTGGTAAGCAGTGCGCGCTTTCACTCCGCAGCGCCTGGGTTCAAACCCTGGTCAAAGCAACATCGCAAAAAAATACCTTGAAATTGCTAGGATATGATTGAATAAAAAAATTATTTATATGATTTGGTGCAGTGTAGAGTAACAACATGGGTATCAATTAAAAGGAAATTCTCTGTAGAATTGAAAAAGAATATTTAATTTTTTGGTGCACAAGGACGAATAAATGTTGAAAATGTCTTTATCCTTTAATGTCCTTGGAAATTTCCAATATTTATTTTTGAGAAAAATATACATATGCCAACTACCACATCCTCGACTTTCGTCCTTCTAACTTTATTAGTTTTAGATAAAAAAAATTTTACACTTATCTTTATAAGATATTGATAGTTACAATATACACAAATGAAGATACTGGAATCATTATTATTGAACCAGGTATGCGCTCTAAAAGAGCAAACTAAAATAGTTTAATTGTTTTGTATACAAGGGCATAGACAGCCTTTCACCTAGGAGGGCAGGAGTTTATATGGAGGGAAAAAATGTTTTTAATACATTTTTTTTTGTGTATATAAGTAGAAATTTTTGGGCTTAAGAAAGTATACGTTTTTTGGTATCCTTTGCAACGATACCAATTTTTTTTAAAATCGGTTAGTAATTTTTTTGTTCAATTCCTTTTTTTATAAAAAAGTTTAAGTGTTTTTTCTCAAATTTTTATTTACAAATTATGCAAATATGCATACCAAAAGAAAGGGGGTTTAGTTGCATTTGCAATGTTATCAAATTTTAAAAAATCGCTTAGTAATTTTTTTGTTAAATTCTCTTTTTTTTAAGGTATTTTTTCCTTTTAAGTGTTTTTTCTCAATTTATTATATATACGAAGTATACAAATACTCATATCAGAAGAAATAAGGTTATTTGCGTTTACAACCATATACATTTTTTAAAAGTCGTTTAGTAGTTATTTTGTTTAAAATCTTTTTTTATAAAAAAAGATATTTTTCCCTTATAAAAGTTTTTTCTAAAATTTTTACTTGCGAGGTATACAAATATGCATATCAGAAGAAAGTGGGTTTAAACTCGTTTACAACTGATTTTTTTACATCAGTTCAAAATTTTTTGAAATATAAGGTTTTTAATTTTTCGAAGACCCGACATTTGACCTCTTATATAGCACCTGTAATATAACTTTGCACAAAAAAGTTATATACCATTTAAATAAGAGCAAATCGTGGACTACGTCTATATTTTTAATTTTTTAGTTATTTACGTATAATACATAATAAAAAATATTTTTTTACCAAAGGTCTTGTTTCCAACTTTGAAGGCCCAGAACGGAGAATTTACTTTTTTGCCTATGACCCAATCTCTTAAAAAAAATTGATTTGGTCCAATACCCAGCACGGTGCTGTACAGTGTAATTATTCCAGTATCTTCATTTATGTATATTGTAACCAGGGCCGTAGCCAGAATTTTTCGGTCGGGTTCTGGCAAAATTTTTTTTTTAGTTTCACTTTTATTTCAACTTGTTTTGAATAAAAGAAAAGTACTGATAAAAATAAAATATTTCACACAAGCAACAAAAAATATAATCGATAATCGCATGAGGCTATTGCTTGAAAATTTGGAAATGCGCTAGTGGCATTGTGCTACTATGACAGCACGGCCGAGTAATCATAGCCAACTTATGTACAGTAGTCGAACAAATTATAGCCGCACCAAATTTTCACAAGTTTTAAAATATTATTTTTGCTGTTATTTAGTGTTGGTTAGTTTTTTATAGTTCATTCTTTAAAAGCACCCATATAAATAAAAGTTTAAAGGCAGTGTCACACGATTGGGTATTTGCCAAAATTTGGTGCAAATCGTATCCCAATTGTGTAAACACCCAAAATATTTTTCTTTATCCCAATTACGAAAATTAATTTGTTGAAAATTTTCTATAGAACATCGCTGTAATGTGCCAATCTTTTGACTAAAAACAAAAATACGTCCCATTTTTTTTTACCAATAGCAAAATATAAAAATGTACAAACCTGTACAAATGCACCAAATGAGGGACACTGCCTCAAAATTTTATACAATTTAAAAAAGATTCAAAAAATTTTTGTCACAATTATTTAAATTCTGCAGTATGCAGTTGTGTAGCCCATTGAATTCTAGTAGAACAAAGTCAAGTTTCAAATGGCTAAATATTTCAGAATCTTTAAAAAAGTTAAAAATTTGGTTGGGGGTCAGAACACAAATTTGGTATGGTTACCCTTCATTGAAAATGGGCGAACATTATTAACATTATTATGAAATGCTGTATCTCAGTAGCCGCTTCAGCAATCCCTCCCAAACTAGGTACGAGGCTTGGGTAGGGCCTAGCTAAGAACTCTGTTGAAAATCTTTTAAATCGGGTCATAACCACGCCCACCTGCCATATAACGGTAATTTACAGAAAAATGAAAACTGCCATAAATCAGCTGAGGCTAATTCACTTAAAATCGATGACTGCAATCACCACTTAACGGAAAATAAGTTTATTAGGGGTCTTCATCTAAAGTAATAAAAGGATAAATTGCCTAAATTTATCAGTTTATCAACATTCCTTCATTAACGCACCTTGGTAAATCTAATATACAAAAATCTCGTGTCACGGTGTTTGTGGTCGCACTCCTCCTAAACTGCTCCACCGATCTTTATGTAATTTTTTGTGTATATATGATAGGTCTGAGAATCGGATGTAACGTATATTTCAAACCGCTAGGCGCAGGGGGCGTGGCACCTCTCATACAAATCGAATTTTTCATACTGCATATCTCTGGAAATGTTCATGGTAGAGTATTCGAACATGGTATGGAGAGATATGAAATCAAGCCCATACTCTTACAGAAAATTGGGGCTATTTGAAAAGTGGGCGTGGCGCCTTTTTCTAGCTTATTTAAGACGGCAATGGAAAAATGCCATTTTACAACCACCAATTGGTAATATTATAAGATAAATGCGTCACTGCGTGGACGTGTTCGGTTTCACCCGAACTTACTTGTTTCTCTTTACTTGTTTTATTCTACCTTTCATTGCATTTTCTAAATAATTTTTGGAATTAATCATATCTTTGAAATTACAAAGTCCTTTAAAATAAATACTGACTACAGACAGAAAAAAACAAAAAACGCCCCTTTAAATAAAAAAGTAGGTTTCAAACCCATTTATTTATTATTTATTTTATGGTAGGAGAGCTTCTCAAACAATATAGACGCAATATTTTCGATTTAAGTTGTTGAAAAGTAATGAGCATCTAAATCCCGGGACTAATCCCGCGAACCCGGGTTTGTGATAACTACATCCCGAAAACCCCGGGATCGTGCAAAGCGAAAAAATTAACATCCCTACATAGCAGCGATGAACTTTGTAACTAATCAAGTGTTGGCTAATCGAAGGCGGCTATTGTCTCTTCAATTGCGCTTCGGCTTCATTATTTCGCTTCCCTGCAGGGAGTGACGTTAGCTTATACCTAACTTTAGTCTGTTTACGCGAACACTAGTGCTAACTATTAACTGTGTATTTTGTTCGAAAAAAGCTAACTACTTTCGTGGGGCGATGGCCGCAAAAAAGTCAGACCTGGATACCTCTGCAGTACATGTCAACTAACTTGTAACTAACTACTTTTGGACATAAAATATCAATAAGAAAAACAAAATATTTTTTTGTTTTTTTACTTTTTTATTTACTTATTTATTTACTTTATTTTATTACATTTCATATTTGTTTACATATTCTGCTCTGGGTGGCCCCATATTCGAACACCGTCAGACATAACTTCAAAATGATAGTATAAAATTTCGATCTTCCTTTTATTTGTCCTGAATATGAAAAAGAATCTGCGAAGTTCAAAAAAAAAGTGTATTGAAAGTAATTTTTGTATGAGGATATTTAATAGAAACTTGTAAAGAAAACCAACTCCTGATTGCGTCTGCATGACTCCTGCACGACTTTACAATTCACTTTAAGTTGGTTTTGTCATAGCTAATTAAAAGTGAGGTATTAATCGAAATCTCGCCAAAAAGCTAACTATAAGTTGGTTAGTTTTAACAATTGATAATTTTTCACTGCAGGGTTGCTACAATAACTTTTTCCCTTCTCCACAGATTGCTTGCTGGCCTGCAACTAGACGCATTACAGTTGCAACAACAACAGCATCAGCAAGAAAGTGGCCAACACGATAGCAGCAAATTTATGCCACGCATTATAGAACTGGCTGAATTTGGGCAATTGCCGCGCAACACCCCACACACGGCGAATTTTATCAGCGGCTTAGAGATTGTTAGCATTGTATTAATCGTTTTATGCGGCTTTGGAGCGACAATGACTGCACTTTGTTTCCTGTGCCTGCGTCAGAAACGGTAAAATAATAAGCAAAAAAATAAAAAAGTATATATACATGCTTATGTATGTATGTACGTAAGGTTTTATGACAAGAGTTTCTCTGATTATACTCACGTGCATACATCCATATGTACACTCTTCCACAAGTAGGTATGTAATAGCATCATGTATTGTAATTGGCAATATGTTAAGACTGATATGTGAGAAAAAACACACAGAATATTTTTTTTAGTAATAAGATATAGAGTAGTCGTCGAATAAGGATTTAGGTTAGGTAAAATGTATGTCATCAGTACAAGTATTTAGTACAAGAAATAGAACACTTTAAACACATCGAATAATAAATGTGAAGAAATTTAAAAAAGAGTTGGTTGTTTGTTTATTTTTCAATGCCATATCGGGTGCAAGTTTAACAGCTAATTAACCCAGAAATATCGGCATAATATATTAAGTCCAGTTGATTATCAGACTGGCATCTGTCAACAGCAGTCTACTGAATTTATTGTCACTTGCCGGTATTCCTCCATCTTTTTTATGTCTTATTGATGACTGAACGTCAGCTTACGTGTTCTTATTATGTGCACTTGTACACAAAAATTTATAACGGTAAAAAAAAAGATCATGCGCATAAGGAGGTTTACAACAACAACAACAACCACTCTTATATTAATATACAGTCTAATGTATAGCAGGTTCAGCATTGCCGCTAAACTGTTCATTGGTATATTTTACCCATATAAGTGGTGCTTTTTTTTTTTAGCCACGACATTTCCCAACCAACTCAATGCGAACTAGTTTTACGAGCAAAAGAAGCTGACCACAGACAGAGTCATGACTGAGGCCAAGTGCAATAGCACATTAACCAGAATTGTGTAGAACAGTACAGAGCCGTGTTTAATATATGTATCTATGTAAACTCATTTAGTATTCATACACCTTTTCTTATATATGTATGTATGTATGTGCATACGGGTGGTCCAAAAATAAATGTAGTGAATAAAAGTTTAAAATGATAAGCTCTAACCCCTTAGGATTTTTTTTTAAATAGAAAAATAGAATACCCGTATATTTAGAACTTCCTCAAAGTCTATGAAGTTTTCATGTATTTTATATGGAGGAATCACGTTTTCGTACAAATAGTATAGGATTCTTGAAAATCAGTATCTATTTTTTCATCGGGAAACTCTGTACCTCTTTAGGGACAATAAGAATACCCAATTGTATATGTGATCATTTTTGAATATTAAATATTTTTATAGGTCCCCTAAAAATTGTTAGTAGATATTTAAAACTCATAAACAACTTAATATTGGCAGGCTTCTGAAGAGAAACCGAGTTTTCCGATAAAAACAAATTATTTTCAAGTATGTAGTCCTTTTTTTATGTAAAAAAATTTTTCCCCTTATAAAAGACAAAGGAAACTTCATTGGCTTCGAGGCAGTTCTAAATATCAGGGACCGTAACAGTTATAACTTTTATTGAAAAAATCGCTCTTGAACAATTATTTATTGACTTTTTTTAATTACTGCTTAAATAACTGTTATTTCTGACTTTATATTATAATTATTTTTAATTTTTATCTGAATAATTGCAAATAACAGTTATTTTTGATTTTTAAATTATGTCTCAAATAACAGTTATCGAACAGTTTTATTTATAAAAGTCATAAATAAAAATCAGTCACTGACCCTTTTATTAGATCATACTATAAAATGTCAGAGATATACGAATGATTTAAAAAATAAAAGTCGGTAACTGATTCATATTGATGACTTTTAAAAGTAAAAGTCATTGGCTGATTTTTATTGATGAATTTTATAAATAAAAGTCTTCGATAGCTGTTATCTAAGACATATAATAAAAAATTGGACCATGTACGAGTATATATGTACATTAGACTGTGCCAAGAATATATGGAAAAAACTTGTTTGCAAATTTTGATATGCATACCCTCTAAATTTGTGCTTTTTAGCCTAAATAGCATATATATGAAGTTTTACGGCCGATAACCCGTGCCGACTTTTAGTTGAAGTTTTGAAGTTTGAACTAAGGCTGCCAAATGGTCCACGAAAACTATGGATATGCAATAAATTCGAAATGTTCACCATATTGGAACGTCTTTCTAGTAAATCAGCATCTTTAAATTTTTAATAGGACGACAGGATTTCTCCCAAGGACATCGAAAAAATTAATTAATCGAAAAGTATTAACGGTGTATTACAAGGCTGCAAAACGATATGTTTTCTTGTCGAATAATTTGTGTATGTCCTGAAGGATTGCAATTGTAAAACATTTTTTAATAGGTGTGACAGGGCGTATGATGAACATTAAATAATTAAATTCAACTTGTATTACACAATTTTTTCCTCATTTAAAAAAATACCTTTCATAATATTAAATAATGAAAATAAATCGTTTTGGTCTTTGACATGTCCTCTCGGGTTGGTATAATGTTTGACATAAAAAATTTAACTAAACATAATTTTCATATCGTACTGATTTACAACAGTTGAACAGCCTGAAGGGACATATAAAATAAGAATAATGAAATAGTGTAACATGA